GCTTAGGATGAAGATATTTTTTCATGCAGAACCCATGAATCGTTGAAAGTTCATCTTGTCTGTGATTCGTAGAATGCACAGAAATGGGTTGTTAACATAAAAAACATCTGTACCACCTAATCCCATAGCGACCATACCATGGGGGGCCAGAAAGGAAAAGAACTTAAGGAAGCAGCAGACGTCTAATGTGGTGTGATTACCCCCGAGTGTTCTCATAAACCTTGGGGTCAACCACTAGAGTATGCTTGCATAAGTACATGGGTGAGGATGTCTTAGCTAAGTGTTAGTGGGACAAGGGAAAACCCCATCCCCTCGGATTGACCAATGAGGAAGATGAAGCTAACCGGAGTAAAAGTGCATACCCATAAGTGCCCTCGGCACTAATACCCCTTGGAGCCATTCTGGCGGCCAAAGTTCTATGTCTTTTTGGTCCCGAGGGTTAATCCTTGGAAGTTGAAGGTTGTCAAGAGTTAAAAAGTTAGAAATTTCCAATTAGAAGTTACAAGCAAATACGGAAAGGACGACAAAAGAGCATACATAAAAGCAAAATAAAGTGATTTTTCATTTCAAAAGAAAAATGGGCTTGGCGTCCCCCAGGCTACAAAGAAGAAAGGAAAGTACAAAAGATACAAAAAATCCAAGTCTAGGCTGATGGAGGGGGAGGACTGAACACTTCCCCACCAGCATCTCCAGTAGCATCCCCAAAAAGTTCTTCTATACTAGGAGAGGAGGCAACAATGGGAGCGTCGGTTGGAGTGGGACCAGGAGGAGTTGGAAGGTCGACCTCTGGGAGGACAGCAACATCTATGACCGAGGCCATGACGTTAGAGGGCTCCCCTGAGGCCATGACGTTAGAAGGCTCCCCCGAGGCTTACACTTAGGCATTAGCTGCATCCTCAGCAACGACCTCAACCACGTCCCGCAACATCTCTTCTAAAGCACATACTCGTGTATGAGGACAAAGGAGATTGGGATGGAATGCCCACAGCCTTGAGTGCCTCGTCTCATCCCTTCTTGAAGAACTCTCTCTTATTTTCCTTAAGGGCAACTAGGGTGACATCGGCTCATTCATTAGTGATCTGCTGCTTTGTTTTCTTGGTTGCCTCTGCCTAAGCCCTGACCCTATCCAGCTCTTGAGTAAGAGTCAAACAAGTTTGCTCCGACTCCTCGGCCCTCGCCTCTGCCGCGAATAGCTGCTGCGTTGCCTCAGTAATTTTTCTCTTAGCGTCTGTAAGGGCCGCACTAAGCTTTTTAGCGCTGAACCTAGCAGTTTTGCCATCCTTGAGGAGTTGGGCAATTGGGGCAGCCTGGGAAGATAGCGTGATGTCCCTGGTGGCCACGTCCTCCTTAGCAGCAGCGAGGGCCGTCTCGGTCTCAGCTTCGGCCTTCTCCTTCTCGACTTACTAAAAACTTTGCCTTGAAGCGTGGTAACGTGCAGCAACAACCGATATTTATTGGGAGGCCTATTGGAAGGAAGAATGAAAAGTTTCACCAAAAAAAAAACAAACAAAAAAACAAAAAATAGTAACGAAACCTACCATCAGGGAGTTCTGATTGATCGTTCACCCCCGGTGCTCCTCCATGTTAACACCAAAGTGAAGTGTCTCACTTACGGCATAAGCCATATGAAGATCATGGCTGATGGATTCATTGACCTAGATCACTCTGTTTTCTTGATCCCGGGCTCGGGGGCACCACTCTTCCATAGTTGTCATCGGCGAAGGAAGAGGAGGAGTTTGCTACTGCTGCTGTTGTTGCTGCTGCTATTGTTGTTGTTGCTGTTGCTGTTGTTGCTGTTATGAAAGGGCCCTGCCTCGGCCCAAATCATTGTGCCTTTGTTTTGTTCTCCTCTCTTCCTCGATTAGGGGGTCCTGGTCACAGATAAGTCCCCGGTCAGAAGATCTTAATGGCACGGGTGGTAGAGGAGGAGCATTGATGTTAGTCCTTTGAGGGGGATGAGGGGCATTGCTGGAGGATCCCCTACCTCTCCCAGCGGCTAGGGCAGACCTCTAATTTAGAAAGTTGAGATCATGATGAGGTCTTTGAGATATGACTACCTCAAGAGCGTCCTCCTCATCCAAGCTCTAAAAGATGTTAAAATCAAGCCAAGCCTCCCTTCTTGATGTGTTGGGCTCGGCTCAGATTGCGGAGGATGGGTCCCTAACTATAACTGCTTCTCTTTCTTCAACTCTCTCAGCAACCCCCTCTAGCTCGGCCTCAGTAGCCTCATTAAGATCCTCTTATAAGTTCTCCTCCTTCTCCAAGTTTTGATGGAAGAGATTGGACCACCTAGAGGGATCTTAGGGTTTGGGGAGTTGGAAAACATTTTTAAATCCTAGAATATAGTCTAGGAGCACGTGAGCCGCTTGACCAAATTCATCTTCAATATATCCCCAGACAGTGATAAGATCTTCAAAATTCACAAGGTTTCGAGGTCATGGAGAAACCTCACAAGCGAAAACATCTACAGAAAAGAAAGAAGTGCATCAAGACTTGTACACAATTTTGAAAAGCTAAAAAGCCAAGAAGAGAGGGAGAAGCTGGCGTACTTGTTGTTTGCCATTCCTTGGGGCAGGACAAGCCGTCGTACTCGGGACTGACCCCCCTCTCCTAGGCGCAGCTAAAAATCAACAAGTCATCCTTGTACCCCTTGTTTGAGTCGGGGAGATAAGTCATGAGGTACATTGAGGTATCTCTGGCTTTGAGATAGAAGTTTTGCTGGGTCATTACCCTCAGCTAGGTGTAGCAAAAAAGAATGTCCTCGAGGTCGAGGTTTACCCCGAGGCGTTTATTGAGCTTGACGATCCCCATGATTATCCTAAATGTGTTCAGATAGTACTGCCCCGAGAAGAGATGGAATTGAGACAAGAATTGGAGGAGAAAAAGTGGAGGAGGAATCTGATCCCACCCTCCATAATTGGCTTGGTGTAAAAAGGCATAGCACCCTCAGAGTCGACATTGTGGCGATGACGAGCTGGGTCAAAATCGTCAATGTCGACACTACAAGGGATATCGTAATGAGCTTTTAAGTTGGTTATTTGTTGGATGTCCTTGATCGTGTATTTCCTTGGCCTCAAGGTCCCAGCCTCTTGGACCTCAGCGACAGGGCGACGAATCCTCGGCATCTTGTATAGAGAAAAGGGAAGGATTCCAAAGGGGTGTTCTCTCAAAATGGGAATCCTAATGGTGCTACCAGACATTGAAATGACAAGGGAAGGCGATGGGGGCTTGACCAGTTGTCGAGAAAAACAAAAGGGAGTAAAAGGAAAATGAAGGGGTAGTTTTATGCCTCAAGAACCAAGGATCTGGAGTTTAGAAGGCGATGAATCGTCGAAAAAATGAGAGAAGGAAAGAAGAGACAAAAGAAGGGCAAAAAACGCACCGAGAAATGGCTAAAGGTGAACTGAGGGCTTGGGAGCAGGTCTAGGCACTCCTCTCCATCAAACGATGACAAAAATTCAACAGAAAGGTTCTCTAGTGAAGTTTAGGCAAGCAACTGGGAAAGCTCCAGTGAAGTTCTCTGGTGAATCTCTTAGATAACAAGGGACTTGAAAGTGAAAAATAAGGGATAGAACTCCCTTTATATAGAGCCTGCCCCCATCATTGTGCACGAAACACAAGGAAAGTCACATTCAATGTGCACGATTCCCATCAATGGGAAAACGGCTGAGGCAATGATAAGATGGTTGAGCCCTTTCACCTTCTAACGACACATATCCCTACCGTACGAAAGATCAAAGGGCTAGGGGACAGTTAATGGGACACTTCTGAGAAAGGAGTAGATGGCAACACGTGTCCTTGAATTCGAGGGAACACCTTTATTCTAATAAGGACACATGTCCTCGGCACTGATGGACACGTCATTGCTCTGGACAAAACACGTGTCCTCGACTTCAAAGGTGTGTGTCGTATGCCACAAGTACTTGTGCTCAACGTCAAAGTGTTCCCTCTCTATGACAGACATGTGTCCTCAGCTCCAAGAGTGCCTCCACTCTGAGGGAGCCAAGTGTCCTCGGATCTGAGGGTACTCACTGAAACTCTGATCGTGCCACTAATCTTCGACTTCTGGAGAGGTTATTGATTGATAGCTGAACAGTCTAAACTAGGAACATGAGGTCACTCTGCACAATGAAGCCAGAATAGTAGAACGAACTAGACACTTAACCAGGGGAAGTCAGACGTGTGGCATAAAGTACATGATGTGGGGTAACTAGATAGAACTATCCTTACTGATTTACGGGCTATCCCAGGCAACCATTTAATGAATTCTCAGTGATGTGACATCCACAGTAGCATGAGAAGCCGAGCATATGGAGTATTAAATGCCTTAGGTTCCTAGCATTTAAAGTCTTTACATCCAAGAAAAAACATTAACTTCTTGGGAGCCCGAGCAATCAATAACGGGAACTCCCCCATGCAAAATAGGGGGCACACTGCCCTATGTCTGAGTACTTCCTACTGACTAGGTCATCAATAATGATGAGCCTTTGGAGGTATAAATAGTTCTCCAAAATGTGATGCAAAGGTACGTAAATTTACACCTCAAGAACATCAAACAGTGTTTTCTTCTTCTCCTCTTTTAAAAAGGTTGACTTGATTGTCAGAGGGGATACTCCGAAAGACACTTCGGCGCCCTTCTAACTTGTTTTCTATATGCCACAAATGTCCTGTGACCAACTGGAATCGATAGAGCAGTCCTTGGATTTATCACTACTCTTTAGGCCCCTTTGGTCCTCTCAACTCATTCTTTGTTATGGGATCTGTCACTTTCTCAAAGAACACGAGATTACCACGGGAGAGATATGTCATTTTCATATATTGTGTGAAAATCACTGCACACACATACCCATTAAAAATTGCATAACATAATAATTGAATGTCGGTCCGTTGCAAAAATATTACCTAATAATAATAATATTAATCATAGTAGAGATAAAGTTAGCAACGGGACTCATCCTATTTTTTGACGTGGGAACTCACTCATATTAAAGAAAGTATAAGTTGACTTTTGTGTGGGGAGAAGTACAACACATATATTGTACACTGAAATAGTCTGCTCTATATGACCAGCATTTCCCTCTTTCCCTCTTTCCATCTGCTCATCTTTCAGATATATCCTCTGATTTATCAACATGGAGCCCAAGGCTTTTCTTCGGCTGCTTCTAATGTTTCTGGGTTTCTCCTTTGTTCTCTCCTCATCCGTTCCCTCATCCAGTAAGCTTTAAGGGTTCAAACATGGGTCCAGTATTTTTTATATAGTTTTCAGAAAATAATTGAGCTCATTATGTTTGTTTGGGTGTTTTTCAGGAACTTTGAAGTCAATTAAGGATGAGCAATTTCTCCAAGATTTTCAGGTTCAAGTACTCTCTCTCTCTCCCACACCCCCGCCCCCAAAAAAATAAAAAATAAAATAAAAAAGCCTATTTGAGGCTTCTTTAAATGACTTCAGACCATCTATGAATCGATCTGCATGCGGATATTTTATTATACCTTGATTAGACAAACTTATATTCTGTTTGTAGCCCGCAATCTACGTAGCTGTCAGACTCGTAATCAAAATTTCACCTCTTGCGTCATTGAAAGAAAACTTTACATTATTTTTAGATATTGATTGGAGATTCACTCTAAATTTTTTTTCATGACTTTTTATTTTTTTTTATTTTTGAGGAATAAATGATAATTTTCTTCAAAAAAAAAAAAAATTATTTCGCTGTCATTTTTTGTTGGAATTAATTAAAAAATGTCAATATTAAAAGTTAATTCTGAGTTTTTAAATTGTGTAGGGAATAATGGGCATGAGGGGTGATGGAAAGGCCTGGGAGATGGAAGAAGGATTCAAAGAGGGGAGAATGGATATAGAGAGCCAAGACTACCCAGGAACAGGAGCCAACAATCACCATGATCCAAAGCCTCCTGGAAGAGATTAATCTTAAAATTATAGATTCATACATATGTGTATGTGCCCACTTGTGCACTTTGACCATTATTATTATTTTTTTGGTCAGATGTGCACTGTGTGCATGAAGAACTTGAAAAGACTCGTTTTTTTGTTTGTGGTGTTGTTCGGTGTTGTTAGGTGTGAGTGTTCATGAGTACTTCTATAGAATGTTATTTATTTATCCGATGAAAAAATAGAAAGATCGAAATTAATAAGAATAAAAAGTCAGAAGATAAATAAAATATTATATTTAGTAAAGAACAAAAATTAAAAAGATAAAAAAGTGGATGGATGAGAAGTTTTAACTTATCAAAATCAATCCTTTTAAAATCGATTGGAAAGTAGATGAAAAATTAATTATTTGTATTGTTCGGTGTTGTTCCCGGGATTGCGGTAAGTCTCGAAATCCTCCACCGGAGGACGCAACTTCACCAAGTCAATTTAGGATGTTTATGTTGTCGTCCTCTAACTGTCGTAATCAATTTTTAAATTTTTCTTCGATCACTTTAGCCAGTTGACGAGCCAACAGGGGTGAATTTTCTAGACCTGATACCCATACAAGTTTGACGGGTTTGCTCCCTAGATTGAATGGAAAGTTATTTGTTGACACCTTCAACGTGGTCTTTCATTCTTGATATAGAGTAAATCGATATTTTTTTGTTAAGAACTCTTTCCTTTTAGGCGAGTATTCACCATAGTTACTGTTCTTGGGAAAATTTGGATGATTTCCACAGACGGCATTAGATTGTGCACGGTGTTTTTTACACAATAGATGAAAAGATAGATATCTCCTGTGGTGAACTCGCGTTTGTCTCAAAAGTCGATGATCCTATGACAAATAAAGATTCAAGATGGCCAAAGAGGCCTAAGGAGTGGTGATGAATTATTTTACGGGCTGTCTAATCGATTTCGGTGGGTCACCGACTATTCCTAACACACAAAAAATTGGTTAGGAGGGTGCCAGAGTATTTTCGAACGTATCTCCCATCCAACGATCAAGTTAGTTCCTTGAGAGAGAGGAAGAAGAAAACAATGTTTGGTATTCTTGAGAAATGTCTTTGTGTCCCTTTGTTTTACATTTTTGGGAGCTACTTATACCCCAAAAGACTCATCATTACTGATAGTCTAGACAATAGGTAGTGTTCAGACATGGGACAGTGCGCCTTCTATTTTGTATGAGAAAGACCCCGTTATTAATTGTTCGGACTCTTGAGCATTTAATACTCTTTCTTAAATGTATAGATATTAAATGCTCAAGTCCTAGAGTATTTAATGCTCTTTTTCCTTGGCTCCTCAAGCCATCGTGGATGTCCCATCAATTGAGGGTTCATTAAATGCTTGCCTGAGATTATCGCATGTCAGCAGGGATATTTTTGTCTATTTATCCCTCATTTAACACTTTATGCCACGCGCATAACTCTCATTGGTTGAGTGTCTTGTTCATTCTGCAATTCTGGCCTCATGGAGAGCACCCTCATGATCCCTAGTCTAGTTCTGAGACTAACCAGTAGTCAATCAGTAGGCTCTCCAGAAGCCGAAGACATGTGGCAAGACTAGAGTTCGATTAAGCACCCTCAGAGCCGAGGACATATGTCTATCATAGAATAGGGGGTACCTCAGCGTTGAGTACACGTGTTTATGGCAGAGCAATGGGGTTCCTTCAAAGCTGAGGACACGTGTCTTCATCAGAACAAAAGACGTGCCTTCGGTGCCGAGGAGACGCGTTTTCACCAAAATACAAGATGTACCCTCGGTGCCAAGGACACGTGTCGGTGATCCAATCCCTACTTGAAAGCGTCTGATCAACTGCCCCTAGCCCTTTGACCTTTGTACTGAAGGAAGACGTGTCGTTGGAAGATGGAAGGGCTCACCAACCTCATTATTGCCCAACCGCAATCCCACCTTTTGAGAGTCATGTGTGCATTGAATGCGCTTGTCCTTGTGTCTTGTGCGCAATGATGAGGACAGACTCTATATAAACATTGCCTGCCCCTTTTCCTTCACTTTTGAACGTTTTGGCTATTTCAGAGATTCTCGCCGGAGAACTTACCAGAGCTTTTTACAGCTTGCCTAAAGAACCCGCCATCATTTCTAGTCATCGACAAAGGAGAAAAAAGCCCCCCAAGCTTCTAGCCAACCCCTCCAGTCCCTTTCCAATGAGTATTTGTGCATTTTTCCTCTCTTTTCATTTTTTCGGGGATAGGTTGCCTCCCAGACCTTCTTTCTCACTTCTAGAATCACAGGATAGTCCTTCTTGTCCTCCTTCGTCGTTTCGCATTCAACAGTGCTCCTTAGGTTTCCCATCTCTAAAGCACATACCTTGAACCCCTTCTTTCCTTTTGCAAGAGATGCCAAGACGTCACCCTGCCGTCGAGGTCCAAGAGGCTGGGACCTTTAGGCTGAGGATGTACACGGTTAAGGGTGCCCAACAGATTACCAATTTTAGAACTTTTTATGACTTTTCTCACAGCGTTGGTATGGATGAGTTTGATTCAGGACGTCATCATTCCAACGTTGGTACCGAGGACACCATGCCTTTTTAAACCAAGGCTATCATGAAGGGTGGGATCAGATTCCCCCTTGAACCACTACTCCTCCAGTTCCTGTCCCTGTTCAATCTTTTCTTGGGGCAGTGTTGCCTTAATGTTTTTAGAATAGTAATGGGGGTGATCGAGCTCAATAGACGCCTCGGGGTAAACCTCAACGTCAATGACATCTTCTTCTGTTACTCCCTACTAAGGGTGATGCCCTAGCAAAACTTTTATCTCAAAGCCTGGGATACTTCCATGTATCTTATCACCCACCTTCCTAATTCTAAAAAAGGATACAAGGATGGTTTGCTGGTCTTCAGCGACGCTTGGGAGAGGAAGGTCGGCCTCGAGTATGCCAACTTGAGTTGCCCCAAGGAGTGGCAGACGACAAGTACGTCAGCTTCTCCCTTTCTTCTTGGCTTCCTTAGTGCTTTGAACATAATTTGCATAGGTTCTAATGCTCTTCTTTTGTGCAAACATTTCCAACTGTGAAGCTGCTCCTCCACCTCGGCACTTAGTCAATTTTGACGACCTTGTCATTGTTTGGGGGTATGTCAGCAACGAGTTTGGAAGAGCAACCCATGTTCTTCTAGACTACACTCTAGGGTATAAGAAGTACTCCCAAAATCCTCAACCCTTTGATCCTTCAAGCTAATCTGAGCTCTTCCAGGAGAACTTGGACAAGGATCTTGACAGGGCCACCGAGGCCGAACTAAAAGGGGTTGCCGAGGGAGGTGAAGAAGAAACGACAGAAGTCACGGACCACTCTACCACAGCCCACGCCGAGGCCAGTACATTTGGGAGGGAGACTTGGCCTGATTTCACCATTCTTCAAAGTCTAGACGAGGAGGACACGCTAGACGTAGCAATGTCTCGTCGACCTCGTATCAACCTCAACTTCTTGAATCAGAGGGTTGCCTTGGTTGTCGAGAGGGGCAGGGGATCCTCTAGCTATGCCCTTCCACCCCTTTCAAGAATTAACATCAACACTCTTCCCCCTCCTCCTATGTTGCCGAGATCTTCTAACTAGGGCCAGTTCTGTGACAGGGATCCTCAACTTTAGGAGAAGAGGAGAGATAAACACCGACATGATGGAATGGGCCGAGGCAGGGCCCTTCAACCACAGTAGCAACAACAACAACCACAACAATAGCAACAACAACAGCAACAACAACATCGAACTCCTCTTCCTCCTCCGGCGTCGACAATAACTGTCGAGGAGTGGCACCCCCGAGGCCTGGGATCGGGAAAATAGGCCGATCCGAGTTGATGAATCCATCATCCATTCTCCTCACGTGGCTTATGCCGTGAGTGAGATACTTCTTTTCAGAGCCGACATGGACGAACATTAAGGGCCGCTGACTAACCAACACTTCTGCTCAATTATCCAAAGCTCCCTAGTGGTAAGTTCAGTAACTATTATCTTTGTCTTTTAGTTTTCTTTGCACCGGTATTACTTTTCATTTTTCCTTTCGACAGAATACCAGCAAGTCTCGATTATTGTTGAGCGCTATCATGCTCATAGGCAAAGTCTCCAACAATTCGAGGGGTTGAAGGCCGAAGCCGAGGTAGCTCTCGCTGCTGCTAGGGAGGACGTGGTTGCTAGGGACACTATACTGTCTTACCAGACAGCCTAGATTGAGTAGCAAAGGTTAGCGCTGGGAAGCTAAGTGCAGCCCTTGCTGACGTCGAGAGGAAGATGACTCAGGCAACATAGTGGCTATCTTCGGTGGAGGCGAAGGTTGAAGAGTCAGAGCAGACTTGCTTGATTGTCACCCAGGAGCTGGACAGGGTTCGGGCGCAGATGGAGGCTATCAAGAAGACAAAATAAGAGATCGTCAATGGCTGCGCCGATGACATCCTGGTCCTCTTGAGGACAACAAAAGAGAATTCTTCAAGAAAGTCTAAGACGAGGCACTCAAGGCCACAGACGTCCTCGTTGACTCTCTATTGTTTCTAAGGCACGAGTATATTCCATCTGAGGCAATAGCGTAGGCCACGACAGAGACTGTGGCCGAAGATGCTGCAGACGCCCAAGTGCCAATCTCGGCAGAACCTTTTGATGTTACGGCCTCAGGCCCAACTACTATTGTTCTCACCAAGGCCTCCCTTTCAACTCTAAAACCGGCAGCGACCCCTATATCAGCTCCTACTCTTGCTCCAGCTCTTCAAGCCGACCTCCCCAATGCTGACTCCTCCCCCAGCATCGAAGAGCTATTTGGGGACACTGGTGGAGACACCAGTGGTGATGTGATTGGCCTTCCCCCGGCGGTCTAGGTTTAGGTTCTTAGGTTCTTGTTCATTTTCTTTGTACTTTTGTAGCCTGGGGGACACAAAGCCCTCTTTTTTTTTTTGGAATGAAAAATGACTTTGCTTTATTCATGTGTGCTTCTCTTCTTCTCATTTTTGCGTACTTGTAACCCGTAACTCCAAGAATTCCTAAACGTTGAACCTCGAGGTCTAAAAGCTTCAAATTTTGGAATATTACTTATACCTTTCAGAGTAAATTCTCGATGTCCCTTAGACCCAAGGATATGTGATGAGTATCGTCTTGAGTATCACTAGGGAGGACACGTGTGTCAATCTTGGAGGGCTCGAGGGGGAATCTGCACCAAGGGCTACTGATTTCGGGGCGAGTCAAAGCCGAGGTCCCCTTTCCCATTGGCCCCATCCT